CTTAAAGGAAGAGGATGCGAGCGGCCGCTTCGCTGCTCTTCTTTTCTGTCTGAGAGAGAAAAATGCTGCTGCAAACTGTAAAACTCCCGAGGTTCTGTCAGGATTCTGCTGCTGGATTCCCTGATAACAGATTTGGAAATAATTCTGCAGCAAATAGCACATTCACAAAAGCAACAGTCGGGTGATTAAATATGTCAACATAATTACTCTGATTGGGTAACAGGATAATAAGGGAGAGAAACTCAGGGCAATAATGGGGTTAATTAAGGATGCAGGAAATCACTTTGGAAGCTATTTGTTTTATTTCTGTTACATTTTAGTGAAGCGCTACTAAATATTCAAGTAATAACCTAATAACAACTTAAGAGTATACTTATTCATAATAAAAATGAAATAAATAAAGCGCAGCGACATACAAGAAAAGGTTATCAGTCAACATTTCTGAAAATCTGTTATATTGACACGCTTTTTTGAAAAGAACATTAGAAAATCATTTCAATAGCGAAGCCATTTCCATTCCGAGATATTCCCAAATATTTAATTTAAAAAATATTCTTAATTTTATATCCAATGTGAAGTCACAGGATTCAGTCTTTTTATGAAGAAACTCTGTTACAGTAAATTGTTATTGTTTAGCTTCAAATTTATTGCCCACTTACAAATTATGTATAAAATACATATTTTCATTGTGCCTAGCTGGAATAGTTTTAATTGATTTGTTAATTTGATTTATTAGGGTTTTTTATTTAAAAAATCTGATGGCAGATAACATTATCACTGAACCACAAGTACATAAATATGCTTTTTTTTCTTACCTGTGATTAGTTGCATCCTTCGCAGAAATACAGTCACTACACAGCTATAGTTTTTTAAAAGGGATACGGTTCACTTTGATCAAATCCTGCTCTTATTGAAACTTAATCTCCGCTGCCTTAATCTGATATGAGATTAAGACAGATTAAGCTCAAAGACAGTAGCCCTGGATGTTATATGTTATCAGTTCCTCCACTTTTCTCACATCTTTGCTGAGCTGTCATAGATTCCTTCATGTCTTCTAACTTTTTTTCTTCTGTCCACCAAGCAGCCTCTTGCCGTGACACAAAACGACGAACGGGTTATTTGACATGAACCGCGGATGAGTGACACTCTGTGTTTTCACGCTGTAACATTTCTTTCGCCTAAAAGTTTTGAGTTTTTCTAATGTTTCTCCGGAGGACATTTTTACACTTAATTAAATTTAAACGTTATGGTTAGGTTTTTTTTTTTCTGATCGTTTTGAATGCATTTGATTTTTTTTATTTTTTTTTTTTGTCCATTCTCGCCGCTCTCCCTGCCTCACTGTTTTATTTTTGTTGTTGTTTTTTTGCTTTCTGCTTTAGTTTTAAATAACTGATTCCAAATTTGACAATTTCCAAAAGTAAAATATGATTAGCCGACATGTTGCTAAGCAACCGCATTCACTACGAAGCTGTGTGTGTGTGTGTGTGTGCGTGGGTGTGTGTGTGTGTCTGAGTGTGTGTGTGTGTGTGTGTGTGTGTGTGTGTGTGTGTGTGTGTGTGTGTGTGTGTGTGTGCGTGTGCGTGTGTGTGTTTGTGTGACATCATGAGACAAAACTGCTGCATCTGTTTCTTCTGCCAAACCACAAATAATGAGGATCATGTTTGTCATGTTTACACACTCACACACACACACACACGCGCACGCCCACTCCACAAAAAACTACCAGCCTCGTCTTTTTCGGGCTGGTTTTTTCTTTTTTGGGATCACTTCCTCTTCCTGTGACAGAAGACAGACAAACAGAGCTCCACACACATAGATATAAAGCATTCAAGAAAATCTGCCTGCTTGAACTTCAGACTCCTCTCTGAAACCAGTTCCTTTAACATTGATTGGATAATTATCTAATCTGGCTCTAATATAAAACCCGACAAAAAGACGCCTCTCACATTGTGAGGGACGTTCTCTTAGACTCAGCGTGTGTGTTATTCACTCGGCAGCTTTTTTTTTTTTTTTTCCTGGACATAAATGTCATTGGTTATTTTGCGCACCGCGCGCTGCCGCCTACCAACACGGGACCAGCCATCTGGAGGATTGTTGTCGGGTCTCGGTGTAGTCCAGCGCCACTAAGCCACAAAAGGTCTGAAAGGACCTGAAGACACAAGCAGACCTGCTGCCGCTCTGAAAAGGTCAGGTGGACTCTAATGAGGAGGTGGAGCTAAATTTATCTTCACCGCATCTTCACAATAGAACATGCCCAAGTGGGACCGAGGGAGGACGTTGCAACAGGAACCTTCTGTGGTCCGAATGTGTTCAAACAGTGTCTTCCCTCTGAAGAGATCCTCGCTGTTCTGTTGAGACGGCAACAGCACGCCGTCCATTCCTCCAGATGTGAGTCTTAGACGTCTCCAGGCTGCAGATTCAGTCCGGCGGCAGCATCAAGGCGCGCTTTCAGTGGGAGGATCACGTTACCGAACAGGATTCTTATGTAAAACGCTGACCTCAAATCCGGCTATAAATATAACAAACGAGCTGAGCGTAGTAACACAGAAAAGCCGGAGAGGCTCCAGGTATGATCTCGGAGCCCCTCCCAGTCCTCGTCCCATCAGAAGGGAAACAGACCAACATGTGCAAAAGCTTCTGCTCGTATTGCAGACTCCACTTTTATCACAATACGTCTATCATAGATGTCATGTTAATAAAATCCATCCAGAGGTGGAGAGGAGCCTCACTGCAGCTGCTCTTTTATTTTGTTTTGAGTCTTTACCTCCTGGTCACAAGGACAGGTCATAACCAATAGCTATAATTACGACTGCTCCAATCCACACAGATCACACAATCTGTCTGATTCCAACTCAAGAATATGACCCAGTGAATCTGCGCACTATAAAACCAAGAGGAATCACGGTCTTGTCTAGTCGAATGCTCATTGTTGAGGGACAATGAAAGCAGATTCCAATAGTGCTTTCCACTCTGTTCTCTCTCACCGATCTTCTCGTCTGATCCCTGATGTCGTCCGTCTCAGTCTTATCCTCAACTGGTTTCTGTAATCGTTGCCCACGACACAGTGCAGAGTCCCAACGAGGCTAGATCTAATTTTCCTACTCCTCACCCTGGTGCCAAAAATGTTCGTCGGGTTACCAACAAAATACACTGTATGGCATATAATTGGTAACAAATTCTTCAAAGACACTTATTTACGCGGCGTAAGGATGATTAAAGTTCATCAGCATTTTCTGATTTTTTTGTTAACTTATTTGGAATATTTGTTGAAAATATGCCAAAACATTGAGCTACATGAACTACAGATTATAGTTACTTTGAAATGAAAACGTGCAAACTGCAAACGTATTTTCACTTCTTAGTATGGATCCCTTACTGTGCTTTTAAAAGTGCTTTAGAGCTCCAAACCCTTTATGCTTCAGTCTCCGATCATCAGATCTTGATGACTGGATTTAAAGGTGCTGACTCTGCTGTCCACCCACCAAGGGACACAAAGAACCAGATAGCAGAAATTATAAGAGACAATACCAGAATTATTGAAGCTGCTGTCCTCAAGATACTGGAAAATGTAATCATTTCTTATCGTCACTTTTTCAGGTCAACTTTCCTGAGTTTGACCTGAGTTAGGAGCCCAAACACTGCATCCGCCTGTGGATGAAAACTGCAGCAAACAGCCAAGCAAAGCATTATCTGATAAACCACAAATTCATAAAGTCTGTTGTCATGGACACAGCATTTCTCCTCCTAAATATTAACCGGAAGAAAGGGCAGCACCCATTGTTCAGCTCTGCACACAGGCAGCAGGAACTTACACTGGACTTCTCACCACAGCGTTATATATTTCTAGAGCTATTCGTACGAATTAATCAGAGTTTCGACGTTCCCGCTACATTCCTGTTGTTCTCAGTTTTCTAAAAGTCTCTCGGTACAGGGAAAAATCAAAACTGACTGGCTGTGCATCGTCTCAGCTGGAAACGAAGACACATTTTGCATCCCTGCAGGAGAACAACGAGTCATTTGTTTCACTCTTCGTCTCTATCAACAGGCAAATGAGAGAAGTTTGGCACCAAACTTACAGCTGAAGGAAGAAAAACATAATTATATCTTGTTTCTGACACCATTGGCAGCTCAATAATAATAATAATAATAATAATAATAATAATAAATAAATAAAACTCTTTCCATTTTCAAAGCTGTACAAAGCGGACGACGCCACCAGATGAACTCGTGAGCGTTCAGCGTCACCAACAGAAAGCCAGCAGCAGTAAATGTTCAGCAGTGAGGAGTAAAACGACCTTTGAGATAAACTTCCTGCTTCAACCAGAGGCTCATTAAAGAGAAGGTTACTTTGCCTTTTGCAGGTCACACGGATTCATTAATTTTGCTGAATATTTCCCATGTCCCAAAACTCTGACGGAGCACTAAATGAACCTTCTCCGAACTTGTTTCACATTCAACCTCCGGTCCCTCGACAGCACAGGCAGCGAACAATGCAAACTATTCCGTCGCGAGTTTTTTTTATGTCAAACATAAAATTGATCGTGTTTCACGTCCCAGATGAAGCTGTCCAAGACGTGTTAGAGACTGATCAGCACACTGAGCTAAGAAATGCGTAAGACGCTCGGCAGGTGTTGGATTTTTATTATCCAAGGGCTGAAACTTGCGATTCTTCTCTAGATCGACGCAAAAGGATATGCAGGCAGAACGAGGTGGAAACAGAAGGAGGCACAAGGGAGGCACAAGAACATAAGCAAAGGCAGATGGAGGTAGAGACAACAGGATACAAAGAAGGTACAGATAGACGGAGGTACAAAGGAGAAACGAATTCAGGGTGAAACAACAAAACACTAATAGGTAGAGAGACAAATACAATAAATATATTAAAATTGAACCGTTTGGAGGAAAAGCCTTTTGTTCTTGTCTATAAAATCCATCTCAGATGACTCTTATAGACCGATTCCCATCTCGGAACCAGCTGCAGCCTGTGTTCTCGCTCTCACCTTCCATGACGAACACCAGAGAGCCTACATCTCCTTCCTTTATGATACAGGCGTCCTTCCCATAATCCACCGGGTACATACAGTCCACAATCTCCTGGATCTGAGAGAGCTCCAGGTTCTTCATGAAGTCATTGTCCAAGATGGCTTCCTTTATCAGCTCCTTGGACCTGCGAAGAAGAGGAGAGAGAAAAAATTTTTATTAAAATATCTCCAAGACAGAGACAGGATAAGGTCAATCAATCAATCAATCAATCAATCCATTCACTCATCCATCCAACCAACCAACCATTTCACAAATATTAGGCCTATGTCTAATCTTTTAGTGCTGGCACTAATTCTATTAGTTTTTTAGTGACCAGTTAAGGAATTTTAATCTGCCAATATTATTATCTCATCCTTTCTATCCTTCCTTAAAAATAAACATAATACCATAACAGCTGCGTCGAAGGTGGTTGACGACATAATTGCTCTTAACCAACAATAACTCCAACCCCTACATGTCTGCAACTCTTATGTCTGTGCTGGATCAAGGAGGTCTTCTCCCATCTGTTAACTTTCCAGGGCATCTCTTAGACTCCTGCTGCTGATATCTGTGCTCAGTTTGCACAGAGAAATGTTGACTTTTTAATTCTTTCGCTCGCACAACTTGCTGTTCCTTTCTGTTCATGTTCAGAAGCTTCTGTTCAGTCTGGCGCTCCGTCGCCCTGGAACTTACTTCAGGAAACTTTGAAATCGACTGAATTGATCCAAAATAAAAGCATTTGAGGCGGATAGACTGACTTTTCCCTGCTTCTCAAAGCTCAGCAATTTTCTATTAACTGTGTACTTTTCTGTGTTGTATTTGTTGCTGCCTCTTGGCCAGGACTCCCTTGAAAAACAAGTTGTTTTTTTTCCTTTTTTTTAACTTAATGGGATTTTACCCAGGTAAAAAAAAAAAAAGTTTTTTGAGTGACCCATAAAACTTAAAAATGTAGTAAAATACCTCAAAAGAAAAATGACTGAACTGGGACAAGTTCGTGTCAGAAAGTCAGGACTCAAAGTTTGGTCTTCAATCTGACTGTATCCTAAATTCTCCATATTGCCACAACTAAATAACTTCATATCTTTTCTCTAAAATTTACTTTTTTATAAATACGGCCTGGAAATATTTAGAATATTGTTTTAAGACATTGGCATGTCCTCCTAGACACTCAGGATTGTGTTTCTATTCTGTTCTGTCAAAGCCGGAGCTCCAGAGGAACCTTCTTCTGAAACTCTCAGCGTTTAATTAACTCTCCTGTCTGCAGTTATCGTCACGCTTGTGTTTGACAGCGTGAGCATCTGCGGCAGGCGGCTTCAGCTCCGTCTCTTATCAAACGGCTGAAGTTATTTTCTGCAGGTTTGATCATTTGTCATCTCCGAGCCCGCGAACACTGAAGCCGCGGCGCCCTGATCAATGGCAGCCGGGTGGCGTAGAACAGACAGCCGATTCATCCAAACCGTCCTCCGGCTCAGATCGATCTTGCAAAAGGTGCGGCGCCTCCGGGCGAAGGAGGAATTATCGAGACCCATCGCTGATGAGAATCTCAGCGACTGTCAGGAGATGCTCTAGTTTCTGGGATACGATGTAAGTCGCAAAGCAGAGACGAAACGGATGTTTCACGCAGATAACAAGTGATCACAAGAACCCGACCGTGTCTGCAACGTGTTTGACAAAACGTTGGACAGAGGAGGAGTTGTGAAATGTTTCAGATGTTTGGTGTTTGGTTAATTAACTGTGGATACAGCAGCATGCTTGATCTGCATATAAAGCAGAACCCGTGTACAAGGTTCAACATGATGCAGCAATTAGGACAGACATTAACTCTTGTGTTTGATGAGGACGTCTATCAGAATGACGCCTTAACTTTGCGAAATGCGGCTTTTAGCTGAATAATTGAACATTATGGCCCACACAAAAGCACTTAAGGTCACATTACAAAGGTCTGATGCCCTGTCCTTAACCTGTTCCTCTCACCATTGTAAATTGAAAGACACTCTCCATCGTGAAATCATGACTCATTATTTCCTGTTTTTTTGAATGAGTTCTGTCATGAAAAATGTCCCAGAATGCCTTTCACCATGAGGTATGCGTCACTTTAACCCCGAGTCTGACTTTATCGCAATCTGCACAACTTGTTTGCACGGGAGAAGGTTCTGACTGGAATTCAAAACTCAATAAGGCTCTGTGCGCTAAATCGATCACACTGGTACCTTGTGAAACCACCCAAAGTCAAAATACTGCCACTCTAAAAAAAAAAAGAACAAAGAGGAAAACGTCTTTCACATGCTGTTTTACAATAAAAATCACCAACAAATTTAGAAAAGGACACCAATATTTAAACAACAAAAAGCTGCTCTTCCAGCCCCTTTGTGTATGGAGAACGCCATTTCTTTTTGATTTAACTGTCTGAGCCGGTACGAATGAAATTGCTTTACATTTACATCTAAGATTCAATTGTCAAGCTCACTTTGTAAAAGTGCAAAGAGTCGCCTTCATTCTCGATTGTTGGTTTACCATGGCTGCAGTGGGAGGCTATGAGGCTAATCTTTGCGTTTTAGCTCGATTTGTACCAAAATACCTATCAATAATAATTAACCAGTTATCAGTGATTGTTTTTCTTTTGTATGTTTGTGTTTTTTTTCTTTATCTTAGTCAACTGAACCAGATTCTACCATATCTGTACTGATTAGTGGAGCTGATGTTCTTAACAGGAAGTGGGGCCCCTAAATCACATCCTGCCCGAGGCTCCAGGTAGTCCCCTGTACATGCTATCTTCTTTACTGCCTCCCAACAGAGGCACTTAAACAGTGTCATCATTTCTTGTCTTTATGGCGCCATAGTTGCTTTGTTTTATCGTTGTTGCTTTATTGTCTCTTCCCAAGACGTCTGGTTTCGAATTTTTGCTGGACTCAGGTTTTTGGCTGTCTTTATTTTCTGAAAAGCAGTTTATTTCCACCTTCTTCTTCTTCTCCTTTTCCCATAAACTCTGGGCCATCACTTGGTTGCTCATGTGAGCAGCTCTACCCTCTAGATGCAAATAATACCAAGCAGCTGAGCCGTCGTCGTCGTCGTCATACAGAAACTGAAGAGGAGGAGAAGGATGCCTCTCTTAGTCAGCAGAGCCAAAGGTTTTTCCTTCCTGTCGAGAGTGGAGGGCTCAGTTTTATTGAAATGGACTGAAAGAGACAAAGTGAGTGGAAGGAAGATGTTGAATGCTCCATAGATCATCACTGGCTGGCAGCTGCTGAATGATTTCCAGAAAAAAAATTTAAAAAAGGAAAGAAATCTGCAAAGATGTAAATAGCCCGCTCAGGATTTAATCCAAAAACACCTACAGTTCAGTCAGACTCACAAAGCGTTAAGTTGCTACAAATAAGTGACTTCAGTGTAAAGGAGCATTATTAGATTATTAAAGAGAAGAGAAATAGTTTTTTTCCTCTTTTTTTTTGGTTGTGAAATGCACATTTAAGCATCAGGCAGCTAAAATAACTACAATAGGAGAACTGTTTTACTGCAGAACCCTAAAATCAGTATTGATTAATTCATTTATTTATTTATTTGAAAACTGATTGGCGTCAACGTCAAACCATATGACGCCCAATCAAATTCACCTTTGACCTGGGATGTAAAGTGTCAATAAAAGACTCAGTTCTCCTTGATTTGTTGGAACAAGGGGTAGAATAATTAATTAATTGGTCAAACTAAAAAAAAAGAGTGATTAGTGAGTGAAGCATGACGCAGCGTTTGATGACAACCACATGGTGCGACCCTATCGGTTGTGGCAAGTGGTGGTGGAGGCAACTGCGTTGCCCAAAGAGTTGCGGTGACGTAGGCGTTGCGCTCGTAGCTCGGTTCCGCTACAAGCAGCACGCTGACGGCTGCCTTAAATCCCAAGTTCATGGTGGATCAGTTCACTTTGTGACCCGTTTAGTTTTTGATAAAGCAGAACAAGAAATACATTGAATACAAATCGTCCTCCAAGTTTCATTAGACCTACATATGAATAAGCGAGTAAATCGGGACCAAAGTTGAATATTTTCTCACAGATTTTCTTTAGAAACTTCTAACAGGAGAAGTTATGGCGTCACCTCCCGAATTCAATCAGCAGACCAAGCAAATGCAGTTGAGAAACATTTCATCTCCCATCGACGTTTGCAGCTGAAATATTTTTTCTGAACTGAGGCGACCAAGATTGATCCCTGCGGTGCGGGAGGAAACGTCGAGCGATATCGCTTTGTCGTTAACTTTGAGGTTTGGAGGGAGAGATGTGCATGGCGGCCTGCTTGATAAGCTCCGTTTTAATTCATCTGCAGAGGAAACGAGCTCTCGGAGATGAGCCGGAGCTGGGCGACAGGAAAACATTGCTTCTGTTTCTGCGCACCAACAGAACGGGACTCGGGAGGAAAATCAGCGAGATCTGGATGGAAGGTGGTGACGACGCGCTCGCCACTGTGACCAATGCGGTCGTTACTGCATTGGTCACAGAGGGAGGGGGAAGGTGTAAGGACAAGTGAAATAGATGGAGGGAGAAGAAGGTGACGAGTGTGAAAGAATAGAAACCGGAGGAACAAAACAACAGATGGGCGAGAGGGAAAAATGATGAAAGGAGAATTAAGAGAGTGGAAATAATTAAAGAGAGACAAAAAAATAAGAAGAAGAAACTCAAAATGAAAAGGGAACTCAAAGCACAAAGAAAATAAATCTGAACAGAGATGATTTTGTAAAACTTGATCGACTAATACTGGCAGAGTGTTTTAACAAGGTGGCAGGGGGCATTAGCTCATTACCATCTGCCAATCAGAGGCAGAAACACCAATAACATCTAAAGATCAGTAAAAACGTCACAACAGCGGATGAGATCACGTTTCTAGACTCTTTATCGGCATCAGGTCAACAGAAGAAGCTGAACTGGAAGACTGGAATGAGTTTTACTGCGTAAAAGTTTCAAGAATCTGACAGAGCAACAGGCGGTCTGCTGGATTCATGTGTGTTAGAATTGATCTGTAATTATTGCCGATCAATGAGAAGAAAATATCAGCATCAGGGGATGTTGACTGTAGAAGAGAGAGAAAAATGCAAAAAAAAAAGAAAAAAGAAAACTCACAGCCATGTTAAGGCAGATGTGTATTCTCAGTTTATGGTGAAAAATTATGAAAGATTTTGAATACCGATAAATTTTGTTACTTTATAAAAGAGAAAATAACATGCATATTTTAAGACGGGAGTGAAAATTAGCTGAATCGAAGCCAGGTTGTAAGACGGGCTTGAAACGTTAAATACAGGCAGCCGTTGGAAAAAGATGAAATATAAAACTTTAGAAAGCTACTGAAACTCACACAGACTGGTTCAACGGTGAAGCTTAAATCTGGCTTTCAAAGGGGGAAAAAAAAGGCTTTCAGGCTTTTTTGTCTTTGAAGGATCTACGAGTTGCACGCGAGGCCTCAGAAAGAGCTCCGATGATGTCAAGGTCGAATCCAACACAGGCCGAAACGTACTCGGCGAGAACGTTTTACTCGAGGAAGCAAAGAACAAGGCAGAAGTTTTTCTCTGTTCTTAGGCTGAGACGCTTCATAACTCACGAGCGTTCAAGAGCAGAACTCCTGTGAGGTCTTCACAGCCCTCCCACTGCAGCATTTGTTCACGTAGTAAACATGCCCACTTAAAAATTGGTGACCAACTGCACAAAAGCTGTCAGACAACACACAGGCGCACGCAAAAAGTTCTGACCCGATGAGTCGAGCCAGAAACAGAATGATGTCGCTTTGCTCCTGCGTTTAAATTGCCTTTTATCCAGAAAAATGTACAGATGTTATGATCACCATCCTAATTCGAATGTGTGCAGTTTTGCCGATGAAATGGAAGAGTTGCATTAAAACTCTGCTTGCTCACATTAACTTCATCACCATCACAGTTTTATGTGTTTTGTTCTCTGACGTTGGAGTCAGTTTCTGTCATCTGATCAGTGTGTAGGAAATGAGTCTGAATCAGATTTCATACAATAAATAAATAAAAAGGCTTAAACTGGCATGAGAACCAGTTGCAATGGGAATGTGATAAATTCTAAAGCTTTTTTCTTTCCAGAAACATGACAATATATAATATAGTTTATGGATCATATTCTCAATAATTCATAATTGAATTCATGGCAAACATTCAAGAGATCTATGTAGCCTATATAATTTTATGTTAAATTAAATTATATTAACGTGCATTTTAAGTTGTATTAAGGTTCCTCAATGCTTATGAATCTGAAATGTTTCACACTGTTGGCTGCTTGTTCTTCGATGAGTTCTGCCTGTGCTGCATATATGACAGAACAAAATAAACAAGAACAAAGATCTTCAAACAGATGGAGAAACATTAGCAAAATTTGATTCATGAAAAAAAAAAAGTCCAAGATTTCTGTGCACTGCTCTCAGGAAGGAATCAAAGATCTTGTTTGTTTTCCATAACAAAGAAGCTCTTAATCCATAAAACAGAGAGCATTATGGGGATTATATCCGTATCATGAAGTTTGTGGTTTTTAACTCAAACACCTGATAGACGCCTCATGATCAAATGTGGGAGCCTTCAAAGCTGTTATAGTTCTTCTTGAATAATTTCAGCGTTCTGCAGGAGATGATGGGTTCAAGGTGACGTTATTTCATTACAAAAAAAGCAAAAACCTGATATATCCTGTGGACCGAACTTAGACTGAAGAGCTAATTTCAAAGAAATAGACCAAATTCACTGACTCTGACTTTTTCACAATGTTCTACTTGATGTTTTTTTTCTCTTTTCTTATTTTTTTGTGCACAGAACAGAAGTTGGATTTATTTCTGTTTTGTGTCTCTCAGTAGGAGTCGCATGACGGCAGCGGGAGCGCGTTTAAAAATGGAAACGAGTGAATCTTGCTTGTATCTGGAAGCAGTTTCTACAGCTGCGAGAACCACAGCAGCTATTAACAAAGACCCACCATCAGGCCTCGCAGCAGGAACTGCAAACCTTCTGATTCCCACGTCGCTCTGCAGCTGGTGATCATTGCAAACTCTGGTGGATCACTTCAAACTCTGTCAGCAGTGAATCGGGGAACAGTTTCAGTGGATCATTAACTTATCTCTAGACACCATGAGAGCTGGTGGGAGTCCACAGCCCACACAAACACACACGCATACACACACATACACTCTCTCTCTCGTCTCCATTACTTTATATTTTCATATAACACACAGACACATGCGGGCGGGCTGCAGACTCGGAGAGGGAGATGGGAAACAAACCCTGTCATCTGCCTCCGTGTGTGGGAAGATAAAAACCAACGCGCTTGGTTGTTCTCGCCGCCGCAGACAGAAAAGCACGCCATTTAGCAGTCTGCAAAGAGCGGCTCTCTCGGCAGAACTTACCACCAAAGAGCCGGAGACGCTGACAAGTTAACAGGACCCTCAGAGATCCCAGTGGATCATCCTAATCATGATCCCGTTTAAGCCAACTGACAGAGACAAGACCGTCAAGAACAATCATGCACACGTTTCCTTCTGCACAGAAACCACATAAACATGCTGTATGTTTCTTTTTATGACCATATTCTGTTGCATGTTTCTTTAAATCTGACTAAGCTATTTTAATGACGCCACAATTTGCCTAAATTATCACCTTTTGTGACTTTCTATCTAGAATTTCTATCTTATTCTATTCTGTTCTGTTCATTAAAAGCACTGAGAGTCCAACCAAGCGGGCAAGTAATGTCATTATCAGACAGAGTTAAAATGCATTGCCCCAGAAATGTTATATTCTATTAAATAATGCATCTAAACTCTCCTTTCTGACTGCAACATTGCACAAATTACAGCTCAGGATATTGTGCAGCTCCACTACATGCAGAGACCCCAAACCCTGCTTCTATTTTCAGGGCAGCGGCATATCTTGCTATTTCTTATATGAACACATAGCAATAATAATATTACTCAAGTAAAAGAAAAAGATACAATGCAGCAAAATGACTCATATAAGTAAATTTTTATGGCTGACTCCATGGAGGGGGCAATGCCCCCCAACGCCCCCCAACACCTCCCAATGCCCGTCCATACCGCTTGGGCCTGGGAGCGTCAGGAACAACTCGCAAGATTTTTGCATGTTTGAAGTTCGACAACAGGATGCTGAACAGGAGATGCGTCTGTGCACAGGTGTGTGAGGAGAATACTCAGATTGGAAAATGAACTGAGCGTGTTTGAAACACCAAGCTGCACACGGGGCAGGTGTCTTAACAGACTCTTTCTCTCTCATTTCCCTCCATGAGGAATGGTCAGCCTGAGGCCCTGACCTCGGTCGACATCATGCGGTTTTTGTTCATCCGAAGGAGCGAAGGGCCGCCTGCTCGAGTCGTCGGCGCTATCTGATGCTGATCAGAGCTCGGCAGTCAGCCCCGAAACGGAGCTGAAAAGCTTCATTAACGCAGAACAGAGCAGATCCATTAGGGCTCGTTCCTGTCGCTAATGAGCAGCTGCAGCTGCAGGCCTCAAAACCGATCGCAAAGATTAACAAAGACCCTCAGAGTCACTCATTTAAGCCAGACTGACAAGCACTGAAAGCCTGTTCTCCGCTCAGGTAATGATTGGTTTTTATTTGACGGCGAAACAGCTGAACCCATCCTTGAACAGTCTGACATAAAACAGCTTTGAAACTTGCTGAAGGCACAGAACCGCCTGTCACAAAACCAGCCGAGAGAATAAAACTGTTGAAAAGAAAAATCAACAAAAAAACCCCACTGGTGTTCAGTGGGAGAGTCTTTCCTCTGGTCGTAAACTCTTATGAAGTCCAGCGTGTTCAACCCAGGCTTAAAACTAGCTGAGAAATAACATAAAAAAGCACAAAATCTTACAAAGTTTGGTTGAGTTTCTAGTGGAAATTATCTTAGTACAATTGTGATAAAGACAAAACTAACTTACAAGTAACTTTTCTGCAAGATAAGAGCTTGTTTTCAGTCAGTAATTTCTGAATACTAATAAAAAGTACTAATTCCACTGGCAGCTTGTTTCGCTTATAACATAGCGAACTTGTCCTGTTGGAAGACCAAACGTCTACTGGTGCAACTCAGAACTTTATTTATCAATGTTAAATAATTATTCGCTAAAAAAACGTGCTGCACAAACGAGCAGAAAAGTTGCTTGTAAGTTAGTGTGTGTCTTATTTCAAGTGCATCAAGAATAACTTGGTAAGATTTTGTACTTTTTCAGGATGTTCTGTTAACTTCCGGTTGCATGCAGAACTTTCTACACGTTCAACAGAAGCTTAAACCCGGCCGATGGGACGGAACGAGTTCTATGAGGTTTTCTGGAACTGCTGAAGGAGGTTCTGTTCAGTTCCCACATCTGCTACAGCCAATGTGGGAACTGAAACCAGCAGGAGGAAGTGAAGGACCTACTGTGGGCTCTTGGGGTAGAACGGCAGCGTGACGTGGCACAGCTCGCTGATGTCAAAGGCCGTGGGTTCGGCGGAGATGGCCTGCCTCTTGCTGCGCTGCTGGTCCGGCGGCAGCACCAGGTTCTTCTGCTGGGCCTGGACCTGCTGGGCCGTGGCGGGCCGGATCACCGAGCGGTACTTGTCCAGCTCGTTCTGCAGCCTCTGGATCAGCTCGTCCTTCTGGTCCAGCTCCAGCTCCAGCTCATCGATCAGGGCGTCGCGCTGCCGCAGTTCCTCGATCTTCTCCTGCAGCGCGTACTGCAGGTCCCGCAGCGTTCCCATGGGTCCCCTCAGCCGGTCCCGGCAGGACGTCGGGTCCGAGGCTCAACGTCCGCCGCTGCCTGACCACTTTGGGATCTCCAGGTTCGCGGGAGAAGTCTCTGGGTTCCTCGTTTAGCTTGAAACCGTTGCCCTGCCAGCTCTTGTTTTGGCCCTCCCTGAGTTTTAGGATTCAGTTGTTGTGTGGGAACTTCTCTGTGTGAAACTCTCCTCCAGATTTTCCCAGGAACATCCAGAGGACAAAGCACTTTCAGGAACTTTCCAAATGTTTTTTGGCTTAAAACTTTTAAAACTCCAGAGTTCTTCACCCTTTACACCAGTCTCATCTTTTTAAAAGTCTTTAACAACATTTTTCTTTGTCTTTTTCACTTGTCAGGGAACATGTTTGCTCTTGGTCCAAATCCATTCCATTTTGAAATGCCTGGGTGCCTTCAGGCAGTTCCCAAAGTTTCCCTTGTATATATTACATGTCTGGGAACGTTTGAAAGAGGAACAAATAAAAAGTGGACCAGTCCCACTATATGAATGCTTAAATTGTTCTTGTGGCGCTTTGAGGTTGGATGGAATCAGTGATTTTACACAAGGAAAAAAAAAAACTCTGGAAAGCAGATCAAATAACAGTAGATACTCCTGTGAGTCACACTTGATTACATCCAATCAAAACAAACCGCCTCATTTATTTGTTTTTGTTTAAAAAAAAAAAAAAAGGATATTTGGATCCAGGATTCCTCTGAATATGTGAAATAAATAAAACAACAACAACAACAACAAAAAAACTGAAGACGTGAGGAGAAATCCAGCGAACAACTAACACAAAGTTTCCAATCAGTCTGGGGAGAATGAGAATCCCTCAGGGCTGATCCGGGTTTATGTCCGCTGGGATATAAGGAACCAAACAGCCGCCGCTGGATTAAAGTGTGAAAACGGAGGCGCGGGGATCCAGTAGCGCACACTTCATTCCCGACACGCACACACACGCGCACACACACACAAAGAAAGAAAGAAAAAGACGCGCTCCAGTCGCACCTGGAAACAAGAGACAGGAAGCCAAGGGAAGACAAACGCCGGAAAACAAGAGCCGCGAGACCGGAGCGATGATCCACTTCCAGTGTGAATAGTTTAATCTGAAACAGTTGGAGCTTCAGTGGAGGTCGGAGCGGAAAGAGAGAGAGAGAGAGAGAGAGAGAGAGAGAGAGAGAGACTGCCTCCGCACCTTTTCATCACCTGTCCTCCTACTGCTGCTCCTCGCCTGTGCTGCTTCAGTTAAAGTTTTCTATGCACAGATGGAGGGGGGAAAAACTATCTAAATGTTCATCTTAAACCAACCAAAAATGTTTTTATTTATTTATTTATTTTGCAGGAATAAGCCGTGGCCACAGGGATGGATGTTCAGGAAAACAGATGAGATGACATGTTGATTAATAAGTTTCAAGAGGTGCGTTCACGTGCAAATTTAAAATGGATAACAACCGATGAACGACGCCCTTTTTCAAACTCATGAGACTTTAGCAAAAGTTAAAAATCTAACTGTTCTAAAAGTGTTTAAATTTGACAGTATATATTTCTATATATATAGCCTATATATATATAGCTATATATTTTTTCATGTGAAATAAAAACAGGAGGTATAATAAATAAATAAAAAAAAACAGAACCCGGTTCACGTTCAAAGTCTGATTCATCCTGTAAATCTCCTCCGAACTGCATTGAATAGACGTGTTGGACCGCAGATAAGGACGGGTCCAGTTCAGACCAGAACTGTGAGCCTGGTCCGTTCTCTCTATTTATATAAAGCTTCTGTGTTGGCATCAGTGTTTGTCCTGCTGTGTTCAGACTGTCAGCATGGCCCTGCAGCTGCTGCAGAGACATTTGAGGAAATTACAGCGAATCCACCCGAAAACAGACTTTTATTCCCTGATCTCACACAGAACATTATTATTATTATTATTATTATTATTATTATTATTATTATTATTATTATTATTATTATTGCTGCTTTTTGCTGCTAGGGATCATATTTCATAATGTTCTGATCAGAAAAGAGGCATCGCGGACGGATGCAAGACTGTAATCGGTGCTCGCCCTCTTCTGGAGACGTACTGTCATTGCAACCAGGAGACAAAATCTGGAAGAACTTTGTATTATTATTATTAATATTATTGTTTTTATTATTTTATTATTGTTGAACATGATGCTCATGGAACGAAACTGATTCAAACCGAACCTGTTGTCTACTCCCAACATCCTGTGTTTATCAGAAATTTAATTAAACTAAATTTGCTGATTTAGTCTGACTTTGGGGGCAGGTGGGTGAATTGATCTGAATCATTTATGAAAAATTAAATTGGCTTAGAAGTCATTGTCTTGGATTGCGGAAATGGACTAGAGTCTGCAACAAGCAAACTCCATGCAGGAAGACCTCCAGCCGCAATTTAAACCTGTCGCTTTAACTGCGCCAAAACCATAAATCTGTGTGATCTGCACACATTCGGATGACATGGGTCACTGCAGAGAAAAATGATTTATTTATTATTTTTGATAGGGATCTGCAAGCTTTATAATAATCCAAAGACTCATTCCTCTTCAGTCCAGGTAAATAAAACTTGTTAAAAGTCGCTAATGTTAAAAGACCTTTGGAAAAGACAACTACTATATATATATAGATATATATATATATATCTATATATATATATATATATATATATAGATATATATATATATCTATATATATATAGATCTATATCTATATCTATATCTATATATATATATAGATCTATGTATATATATCTATATATCTATATATATATATATATATATATATATATATATATAGATATCTATATATATAGATATAGATCTATATCTATATATATAGATAGATATAGATATAGATCTAGATCTATATATATAGATATAGATCTATATCTATATATATATATATATATATATATAGATATAGATATATAGATCTATATAGATATCTATATATATATAGATATATATATAGATATATGTATATATATATATACATATATCTATATATATATCTATATATATATATATATATATATATATATATATATATATAGATATATATATAGATATATCTATATATATATAGATATAGATATAGATATATCTATATATATATAGATATATGTATATATATATATATATATATATATATATATATATATATATATATATATATATATATATATATATAGTATAATGTTTTCTTAAAGAATGAAAAACTGACAATCTGTAGGTTTAAATAGGTTGAATATTGAAAATAATTGTCTATAAAACACTAACCAAGTTTTTCTTCTTTGTGTTTTGCTGCCATCTGTGGGCTGTTTTGTAGTAAAGCGTTAAGAAAGTGTGTTTTTCCTCAAATGAACAGGTCTTCTATGGAGGAATTTTCCTGCCATAATCCTTCTAGCGGGTGTGCCCGTGAGGCTACTATCGATTGTAGCAACCACTGGATGTAGGGAGAAACAACGACATCAGCTTTCTGCTCCATAAGCATCCGCCAGACGTGTGCCACTGATTGCAAACAGCCTCTGATCTTTGGCAGGTGATTGTTCGCCCAACCAACTCGCTCCCTCTAGAAGGAAACAAACGCCCCCAGTACAACACTTTCTTTCTATTGGCTGAGAGGTTGCCAGCCGACTGTGCCAAAAGCTGTTTCCAAAAGCAAGCAGAGAGTTCGAGCAGTCTGGGCGCGAGAAGTTTTGAGTGCAATCATTGCAAGTTTTGAGAAGAGGACTTGAAGTCCTCCATTCAAAATGAAAATGTAAGCAAAAGTGTTCAAAGTTTTGAACAAAAGACATGAATTGAAAGTCTTCTTAGTGTGCAGGGGGGGAAAGTTAAGGTTAAAGTTCATTCACGTCATGTGTGAACACGTCATTTTTCTCAGCATTTCAGAAATGACATGTATTTTAAAACTTATGTTAACATCCACATTTTGTGAAGAAATCAGTTTCTATAAACTGTTTCCTCCCACACAAGGGAAGCAAAGTTGTTATGTTCATGACATCAGTGGCGAGGGATGAAATGCCTGATAACACCATCACTTCTCACCTGATTCCTTATGGAATCTAAAATCATGCTTTAATCTCTTTTCCCAGTGAAGCATTTTGGATTACCTGTCTATACCTGTTTAACTTAAATTTGCAGCCTAAAGAAATATTAAAACAAATTTGACAGGATGGCATTCAGAATATTCAGACTTGTTTAACCTACCAGAACATTCATGGTGCATAATGCAACCATAATTAATTTTACGTCTAATTCACTTTTTTTTTTATTGAGCTTTTCTATTTCTCCTTTTGATTTTGGCATTGTGTTTCACATTAGGCTGATTCATTGGACAGAGAATAGAATAGAATAGAATAGAATAGAATAGAATAGAATAGAATAGAATAGAATAGAATAGAGGGAAATTTCAGGTGTTAACAGCAGACATGTCATTTCACAGATAAAGAATTAAGAATATATGACAAAAAACAAAGACTTATATACTGTACAGTAAGAACAAGCTATTAACATGAAAATACTTTGCAGTTATCAGAAACAGGTACTCTGATCTCAGGAATGTGCAACTGAGAAGGATTTGTGGATTAAAAGAGAACAGACCATTTACAATATGTGAAAAATGAAAACTGTGCAAACAACATAAATGTTATTTAAAATTGGGAAAACTGCAAATACTAGCAAAGGATGACATCTATTGAATTTGTTGGGAGCAGTGGTGATTATAGTCTAACATCTGTTCAAATACTTAAAAAACAAAACAAACAAAAAAGACATTAAGTCCACAACACTGGCTGACTCTTCAATTGTTTCATTCTATTCTTTTCTTTTTCTGCATCTCATTTCTTCGTTTTACACCGTTATCTGATCACAAATAAGAATATGAGCCGAGTAAATGATCGAAATGAATTATTACGACACAAAAAACAAGCGATGGAGCCAAAACATGCTTAAATGTAACACTTTTATCCCACACTGTGTTATTCTAATATACCAAAGGCTGACTCCATTTTGAATGCAATATCAATAGTCTTATCAATACTTTTGATCAGGAAGATTTTGGAAGCCCTAGCAAGATGATTCTCACAACATCTGTAAGCAGCTGGAGAGGCCTCTGATCCAGATCCTGTCGGTCAAAGGCCTCTTGATGCTCACACACACACACACACACACACACACACCCGCATACGCACACACACACACCTAC